AAAACATCGACTTAGAAATGAACTCAATTTATGGCAAGATCAAGTAGGCTGTCCTACAATAGCCGATGCTTTGATTAAATGTCATGTTGATCCAGCTCTTCGTGTTCAGCTAGAATGTCAATTAAGTCAAAGTGAATAGTATAAATAAACAATAATTCTTGAAAAAAAGAATTCTGAATACTACAATGTATAAATATTTTATTTTTAATTAAAAACTAATTTATTCGTTTTGCTGCGCAATCGATTTCTGGTTCCCTTTTAGGGTTGTAGATGTGCACTACTAACTAGTCCATATTTATGAGTATAAAATTATTCAATACTCCGTTTTTATCAGTGGGTCAACTTATCACGTTTATCATATGATCGAAATTGTATTAGATTATGTGATTTTAATGAAGTCTCCCACTTTTTTTTGAATATAATGTTTAACGATTGATATGAAAGATGTAATTGTTACTTCATCACACTTCTACTAATCACTACTTGTCTAAATTTATAAGTATCGAATTTTCTGATCTTACCACTTCGAATTTGTTCCTCTTCATATAATTGTTGAAAGCATACAACCAATATTCCCTTGATGTGGAAAAAATATTGAATTTTAAAAGATTTTAGGATGTAGATCTCGACTCATGTATCACAAAAAGGGATACATATTAACCCTTCATATCAGCCATATGTTTTTCTTATTATCTGAAACTAGAATCTTTCTTTGTTAATGGAGTTCTTTTTTGACACCTGTATTAGATAGGGCAATTGGTACTCAGTGAGTGTATCATACAATTGAATCAGTGTAGTTTCTTGGGAATGGTTAATAGTTTTACTTCCATAGGAATAAGTATTATGTTTCGTGATTCTTCAGTACATTTTTGTTAGAGCGAAATTATAAACCTGTTAGTTTGTCTCTTGAGTAAGATTACATCACACTGTAACGTGCTCTATTCTTTTATAATACTGAAGAATATTGAAAAGTAAGGCGTAAAATCATATTTGTATACGGTAGAAATGTTTTAAATATAAATATGTGATAGTTACTTTTCACAGAAAGTATGTTTACATTCATATATAAGTGAAATAAGTAAATAAAATTATATAAAGGTAAATGAAATATTTGTAGGAAGATAAGAGTCTACACACCAGTGAATTAACAACAGATTCACTTATGTTTTTGATTCGGTCGACTCTTACAGTCTGTTAATCGTATAGGTGATTGTGTTAGTTGTGATATTATAGAGCTTTCTTACTCTAGTTTTTATGCGTTGATTTTAGTGTATTTACGTCTCGTTTTATCAGAGGATGTTTAGGAAGAAAAATGTAAATGGGATGGATGGTTCGTATCTGATGAGATAGCACTTGTCAGATGTTTGCAAGACTTCAGATGTCTATTAACGGCAACCTTCGTAATAAGAACCGGAGATTTATAACATAGTTTACTAATTGCCTTCAGTACTGCCTGAAATGAAGTAAAATCTTTTCTCGTAAAATTAGGGAAGTTTGATGGGGAACAATAGACGATAATAGTTATCATACAAGTACTTAAGAATTGTAAAAGTCAAATGTTGAGTAATAGTAAGATCATGTAGCCTCTTCATGTGATGAGTCAAACGAAAACCTTTCCTCGACATAACATGAGAAGGCCAAAAGTGGTCAGTATACACCACAATAAATGACATCCGGCATGGTTTTAGTAACGGAATCTTCAGTGGTTTGCACTTTATTTGGCTTTAACAAAGTGTCCTTTTCATGTTTCAAGCCAAATTTAACAGTTTGACGTTTAAGATTAAGTGTGAGACTATTAAAAATGGACCGCCGTTCAGAAATCTTGAAGAACACATTCGATTCAAGGGGGTTTGAGGAGGAAGAAACAGTGTGATTGCTCCCTTGCTTAACAATTGTTTTTTGTAGGAAGTAATAGGTTATAAAGAAAGGAAAGGGGAAATAAAAGCTGGTTATGCTGCGCCAGCGTAAGTTAATAAATAAGTAGAATGCTTTCCCCTTAGTATGCCATTTTCTTCTAGAGAATTAAGAATACAGTCAGTCGGTTATCCAGTTCTCGGTGTTAATGCTAAGAAATGCGCTCGATGATAGAAGTTATGAAACAGAGTCAGAAGCAGAAGTAAAGCATATAAATGTGCACCGAACGTACTCCTCACTTTTTTCCATGCTGAACCTTATATTCTCGTACAGGACAATACCAGCATTTCTAAGCAAACCGATGTGGGTCAGCACTGCTTTTATGCAGGCTGAAGTAGTGACAGCAATAGTTTCTCTATCGTTTTTAGAGAAAGTGAATTCATTGTTTAGGGTTTGAACTCTACATCCTTATCACTGGATTTTCTCTCTTCCACTGACATTATCTTTATTTTTCGGTACACTTTCTAAAATTAGTTGGAAAGACTCATAAAACATGCTCGTAGATGGATGACAGAGCATCAATACATTTCCGAAAAAGGTTTGGAATGTTATCAGGTACTAAACATTGTTATAAGTTACGTGACTTCAGACATTTTGTAACACCAGTTTCCGTAAAACTTTGGAAATAGAATAGATGAAATCAGATGCTTGAGCTATAGAAGATTTATTCTAGTTACAAACATTCAACTGGGTATCTTCACTAATCCGTTTCTTACATGTAAGCTCTTTAAACGATTTCCGTACATTGGATGAGTTCTTTGAAGATAAGAGTTTGTGGGCATATATCAAACTCGGACGGATTATCAGGCTTATTGAACAGTTTAGCCTTTTTAAATCAATAGAGATCTCTACACAATATTCCTTTTCCCTCTCAGATAACAGTTGTGGGGATCTTACAACAGTGATCTCAATGGGACCACAAACATCAAGATTGAGTTTAAGGTAACAATTGATGATAATAAATACGTCTTCCAATGAATCATTTATGAGTAAGTCTCAGTTCACAGTTCAAAACATGATTTTCAGATCTAGGATGTTTTCTTAGTAGTTTTTATACGTTTGGACATTTTATCTGATGTGAGAGAATATTTTTTCAAAGTTTGCCACATGCTTAAGGAGGAGCTAGAATAATACAATAATCAGAACTAAGCAGTGGAGTACTTTTACAAGTCACGTATATTTCCACATCATTAACGAAAACTAAAAAGGTTGGAGAAATCGATGGTGTTCTGATGACCTACAATCATATGAATCAGAATCACCACACCCATTTTAAAGAGAACCAATAAGTAGAGTAAAAAGAAATTCAGTGAGATTATCAACGAAAACCGTTAGTAAAGATGAGATGCATAATGGCTGGTAGCATAAATATGAACGTATTTGTCCAAGTGTCTTGAGCGACATATCAACGTTAAGCAATTGATAAAGTCATTTGTAAACTCAAAACATACATAAATTGACTACAGTTTACATTTAGAAGCGTGACTACACCATTAGAGTCCATTTTTCCACTGCTTGAATAATTCGGACAAATCCTAAAACGGTGTTACTTACGCCTGTTACTCTCAATGGAGCATAGGCTGTCCTGAACCTACCTTTCTAGTTCTATCCAATTGTTGTTCATTCTTCGCATGTCCGTCTCCATTTCTCAGCGCAATGTGTTCTTTGGTCTTCCTCTCCTCTTTCGGCCTTGAGGTTTCAGGTAACGGCTTGCCTTGTGACTCAGTTGGGTTCATTCCTTAATGCGTGTCCTAAGCACTTCCAGCGCTTCTTCCTGATTTCTTCCTCCTCTTGAATCTGGTTGGTTCTCTCCCATAATAGGTTGTTGCTGATAGTGTCTGGTCAATGGATCTGAAGTATTTTGCGTAGACAACTGTTAACAAAACTTGTATCTTTTGGATGATGGCTTTCGTAGTTCTCCAAGACAGTATAATTGTACCAAACTATCGTCATTTCAATCATTTAGTTAAGATATTTGAATTGTGATTACATCACAATTACAGTAAATGTTTGGACCCAGTTAGCTTTGCCCATTAGTGATCTGTAATTAAAAGTAAATAGTTCAGAGATAGATAACACCTGAACTAAGGATAGGGAGTAAAGTAGTCGAACGCATTGACAACTTCAATTATCTTGGAAGTCTGATAAGCCCTAATGGGTTGGTGTCTGACGAAATCTCAGCACGGATTCGGAAAGCTAGTTTGGCTTTTGTCAATTTATGTCAACTTTGGCGAAGGCGAGATATCCGTCTATCAAAAAAGGACGGCTATACTGCGCGGCAGTTCGTTCTGTTCTACTTTACGGCTGCAAAACATAGTCATTTAGAGTAGAAGATATTCGTAAGTTACTAGTATTCGATCACAAACATCCTAGAACTATTGCTCACTCTACTGGGATCACAGGGTAAGTAATAGTGAGGTTAGACACAGGGTATTAGGGAATGATGGTAAATCAGTTGATGAGGTTGTGAATCTTCATCGACTGAGATGGCTGTGCCACGTGTTACGTATGCCTGAACACCGATTACCACGACGTGCAATGCAAACCGATGTTGGGGATGGTCGGAAGAAAGTTAGAGTCGACCAAACCAAAACGTGGCATCAGTGCTTGAAGTCACTAACTTCTAGTCTGAGCCATGTTGGCAGATGCAGACTACTTGGTTAGGGTCCATGCGATTATCGTAACCAATGGTTGGAGACTATGGGTGACATGGATCAGAATCAGTCACAATGATGTCGGTGTATACACTCCCTGTCTTCCCTCACACCGCGAGATTAAAATCGCTTCCTATCTTTTTTCTACGAACTACTTCTTTCTCCCTGTAGCATATCCTTATATACAATCTTTCATTTATAAAATACTACCATTGAATTAACTACTATAAATTCGCTGTCCATCTTGTTGTGTTTATGAGGTATGGTAACTTGGACCGATGAATATATGTGCCTGGTCCTACGATGTAGCTGACTGACTGAAATATCTGATAAATGTTTACTCTTATTTTAATAATGATAATGATAAGCGAAAACAAACAAAATAGAAGAAACTTATTTAAATATTTTTAAATGGTAAGAAAAATAGGTAGCCTAGATATTCAAATAGGCCTCCGCAAGATTAGTAATGGTAATAGTACTGATATTAGCAGCAGTAGTAATAGCAGTAGTAGTAGTAGTAGTAGTAGTAGTAGTAGTAGTAGTAGTAGTAGTAGTAGTAGTAGTAGTAGTAGTAGTAGTAGTAGTAGTAGTAGTAGTAGTAGTAGTAGTAGTAGTAGTAGTAGTAGTAGTAGTAGTAGTAGTAGTAGTAGTAGTAGTAGTAGTAGTAGTAGTAGTAGTAGTAGTAGTAGTAGTAGTAGTAGTAGTAGTAGTAGTAGTAGTAGTAGTAGTAGTAGTAGTAGTAGTAGTAGTAGTAGTAGTAGTAGTAGTAGTAGTAGTAGTAGTAGTAGTAGTAGTAGTAGTAGTAGTAGTAGTAGTAGTAGTAGTAGTAGTAGTAGTAGTAGTAGTAGTAGTAGTAGTAGTAGTAGTAGTAGTAGTAGTAGTAGTAGTAGTAGTAGTAGTAGTAGTAGTAGTAGTAGTAGTAGTAGTAGTAGTAGTAGTAGTAGTAGTAGTAGTAGTAGTAGTAGTAGTAGTAGTAGTAGTAGTAGTAGTAGTAGTAGTAGTAGTAGTAGTAGTAGTAGTAGTAGTAGTAGTAGTAGTAGTAGTAGTAGTAGTAGTAGTAGTAGTAGTAGTAGTAGTAGTAGTAGTAGTAGTAGTAGTAGTAGTAGTAGTAGTAGTAGTAGTAGTAGTAGTAGTAGTAGTAGTAGTAGTAGTAGTAGTAGTAGTAGTAGTAGTAGTAGTAGTAGTAGTAGTAGTAGTAGTAGTAGTAGTAGTAGTAGTAGTAGTAGTAGTAGTAGTAGTAGTAGTAGTAGTAGTAGTAGTAGTAGTAGTAGTAGTAGTAGTAGTAGTAGTAGTAGTAGTAGTAGTAGTAGTAGTAGTAGTAGTAGTAGTAGTAGTAGTAGTAGTAGTAGTAGTAGTAGTAGTAGTAGTAGTAGTAGTAGTAGTAGTAGTAGTAGTAGTAGTAGTAGTAGTAGTAGTAGTAGTAGTAGTAGTAGTAGTAGTAGTAGTAGTAGTAGTAGTAGTAGTAGTAGTAGTAGTAGTAGTAGTAGTAGTAGTAGTAGTAGTAGTAGTAGTAGTAGTAGTAGTAGTAGTAGTAGTAGTAGTAGTAGTAGTAGTAGTAGTAGTAGTAGTAGTAGTAGTAGTAGTAGTAGTAGTAGTAGTAGTAGTAGTAGTAGTAGTAGTAGTAGTAGTAGTAGTAGTAGTAGTAGTAGTAGTAGTAGTAGTAGTAGTAGTAGTAGTAGTAGTAGTAGTAGTAGTAGTAGTAGTAGTAGTAGTAGTAGTAGTAGTAGTAGTAGTAGTAGTAGTAGTAGTAGTAGTAGTAGTAGTAGTAGTAGTAGTAGTAGTAGTAGTAGTAGTAGTAGTAGTAGTAGTAGTAGTAGTAGTAGTAGTAGTAGTAGTAGTAGTAGTAGTAGTAGTAGTAGTAGTAGTAGTAGTAGTAGTAGTAGTAGTAGTAGTAGTAGTAGTAGTAGTAGTAGTAGTAGTAGTAGTAGTAGTAGTAGTAGTAGTAGTAGTAGTAGTAGTAGTAGTAGTAGTAGTAGTAGTAGTAGTAGTAGTAGTAGTAGTAGTAGTAGTAGTAGTAGTAGTAGTAGTAGTAGTAGTAGTAGTAGTAGTAGTAGTAGTAGTAGTAGTAGTAGTAGTAGTAGTAGTAGTAGTAGTAGTAGTAGTAGTAGTAGTAGTAGTAGTAGTAGTAGTAGTAGTAGTAGTAGTAGTAGTAGTAGTAGTAGTAGTAGTAGTAGTAGTAGTAGTAGTAGTAGTAGTAGTAGTAGTAGTAGTAGTAGTAGTAGTAGTAGTAGTAGTAGTAGTAGTAGTAGTAGTAGTAGTAGTAGTAGTAGTAGTAGTAGTAGTAGTAGTAGTAGTAGTAGTAGTAGTAGTAGTAGTAGTAGTAGTAGTAGTAGTAGTAGTAGTAGTAGTAGTAGTAGTAGTAGTAGTAGTAGTAGTAGTAGTAGTAGTAGTAGTAGTAGTAGTAGTAGTAGTAGTAGTAGTAGTAGTAGTAGTAGTAGTAGTAGTAGTAGTAGTAGTAGTAGTAGTAGTAGTAGTAGTAGTAGTAGTAGTAGTAGTAGTAGTAGTAGTAGTAGTAGTAGTAGTAGTAGTAGTAGTAGTAGTAGTAGTAGTAGTAGTAGTAGTAGTAGTAGTAGTAGTAGTAGTAGTAGTAGTAGTAGTAGTAGTAGTAGTAGTAGTAGTAGTAGTAGTAGTAGTAGTAGTAGTAGTAGTAGTAGTAGTAGTAGTAGTAGTAGTAGTAGTAGTAGTAGTAGTAGTAGTAGTAGTAGTAGTAGTAGTAGTAGTAGTAGTAGTAGTAGTAGTAGTAGTAGTAGTAGTAGTAGTAGTAGTAGTAGTAGTAGTAGTAGTAGTAGTAGTAGTAGTAGTAGTAGTAGTAGTAGTAGTAGTAGTAGTAGTAGTAGTAGTAGTAGTAGTAGTAGTAGTAGTAGTAGTAGTAGTAGTAGTAGTAGTAGTAGTAGTAGTAGTAGTAGTAGTAGTAGTAGTAGTAGTAGTAGTAGTAGTAGTAGTAGTAGTAGTAGTAGTAGTAGTAGTAGTAGTAGTAGTAGTAGTAGTAGTAGTAGTAGTAGTAGTAGTAGTAGTAGTAGTAGTAGTAGTAGTAGTAGTAGTAGTAGTAGTAGTAGTAGTAGTAGTAGTAGTAGTAGTAGTAGTAGTAGTAGTAGTAGTAGTAGTAGTAGTAGTAGTAGTAGTAGTAGTAGTAGTAGTAGTAGTAGTAGTAGTAGTAGTAGTAGTAGTAGTAGTAGTAGTAGTAGTAGTAGTAGTAGTAGTAGTAGTAGTAGTAGTAGTAGTAGTAGTAGTAGTAGTAGTAGTAGTAGTAGTAGTAGTAGTAGTAGTAGTAGTAGTAGTAGTAGTAGTAGTAGTAGTAGTAGTAGTAGTAGTAGTAGTAGTAGTAGTAGTAGTAGTAGTAGTAGTAGTAGTAGTAGTAGTAGTAGTAGTAGTAGTAGTAGTAGTAGTAGTAGTAGTAGTAGTAGTAGTAGTAGTAGTAGTAGTAGTAGTAGTAGTAGTAGTAGTAGTAGTAGTAGTAGTAGTAGTAGTAGTAGTAGTAGTAGTAGTAGTAGTAGTAGTAGTAGTAGTAGTAGTAGTAGTAGTAGTAGTAGTAGTAGTAGTAGTAGTAGTAGTAGTAGTAGTAGTAGTAGTAGTAGTAGTAGTAGTAGTAGTAGTAGTAGTAGTAGTAGTAGTAGTAGTAGTAGTAGTAGTAGTAGTAGTAGTAGTAGTAGTAGTAGTAGTAGTAGTAGTAGTAGTAGTAGTAGTAGTAGTAGTAGTAGTAGTAGTAGTAGTAGTAGTAGTAGTAGTAGTAGTAGTAGTAGTAGTAGTAGTAGTAGTAGTAGTAGTAGTAGTAGTAGTAGTAGTAGTAGTAGTAGTAGTAGTAGTAGTAGTAGTAGTAGTAGTAGTAGTAGTAGTAGTAGTAGTAGTAGTAGTAGTAGTAGTAGTAGTAGTAGTAGTAGTAGTAGTAGTAGTAGTAGTAGTAGTAGTAGTAGTAGTAGTAGTAGTAGTAGTAGTAGTAGTAGTAGTAGTAGTAGTAGTAGTAGTAGTAGTAGTAGTAGTAGTAGTAGTAGTAGTAGTAGTAGTAGTAGTAGTAGTAGTAGTAGTAGTAGTAGTAGTAGTAGTAGTAGTAGTAGTAGTAGTAGTAGTAGTAGTAGTAGTAGTAGTAGTAGTAGTAGTAGTAGTAGTAGTAGTAGTAGTAGTAGTAGTAGTAGTAGTAGTAGTAGTAGTAGTAGTAGTAGTAGTAGTAGTAGTAGTAGTAGTAGTGATTGTATTCATTTCAATTTCTCTATGATTTATTAGAATTTATTACTTCTATGATGCTGACTCAGTAAATTAGTTTTTAATATCCTTTATTATATATATATATTTATATTCGAAGAAATGTGTCTTTATATTTGATAAGACTAATATTTTTTTCAGTTATTTTAACTCAAATAATCATACGATTTCACTTGGAAAATAACAAAGCAAACTCAACTACTGTGTATTTCCTTTATACTTTTGTAATTTATAACATTGTTTTACTTGATTTTGTATAAAATAAAACAGCTTGCCAGATTTTTCTATTATGATTGATGTATTTTTTTAAATACAAAAACAAAGAGAATACAAATGACATGTATAGAATGCTAAATATTTTGTGTATAGTATGTTAGTGAATAATTTATTCCCTTTCTTAGACTAGGTATTCATTTGTTTAGTGTGAATTTTGTTAGTATGTTATTGCTGACAGTTTATGATTATTACCATTTAAATCCATAAATATTGATACAAGGAGACACTAAATAGATATACGTCACATAAATCATTCAATTTGTTTGAAAGTTGTAATAATGCCCAAGCACCCAGACTGAAACAGGTGGGTTTTTTTAGGCGGTCACACCTCGAGTCTTTAACTTAAAGTTCTGATTCATAAGGCAGTGGAGAAATGTTAGGAGATGCAGTCCCATGGTAGTCGGTGACGAATGATTGATTCTTACTCCATTTGTTCCTTCAAGATAATGGGAGCCCATGTGCACCAATGGTTTGGAATGAGGGTTTTCCAACTGCCCTAGGTGGATTCTCCGTGTCCACCAGCCCGGTTAAATCGCCGAGTATTCGCTTTTCGTCCTCGCAATTTCGTTAACAACAGTAATGCCGCGAGAGGGCACTGAGTAGGACTTCTCTTGCAGTGGTTGCATGCGCGTAGTCATGTGAGAGCATTTCGAGACGGAGAGCGTACTCTCCCCACCTTTGGCCGTACCAGAGCATTTGGTGGCTATGTTATTGGACACACATGTTATTTGTGCACACCGCTCCTCGCTACTACTACGATTCAGTGGTTTAGTGAGGTCGTTGGATTGGTGTCGTTGTAGTGGCTTTGCCGTTCTACTGATGCTGAGAAAATGACCTAATTTGACTATTCAGACGAAATAAAAGTTTTATTAAGGTTTCCGTAGGTGAACCTGCAGAATGATCATTATCGTGACCCAGAAATATATCATGAAGCCTGCATCTGACTTTGTTCTGGATTGCATATACCCTGACTTGGTGATATTCACCCTAGGCTTCGTTTGTTATTATTGCTAACGGTTTATTCAATAAGATAAGGCTGGAAATCAACAAATATCTATTTATCTCTTATACTACTAATTTGAGATTTCTGTATCAAGAGTACTAATTAGTCAATATCAAACTACTGTGATCAACATTTCAGTAGTTAGATTTTTCAATAGCATAATATAATTCTGTAAAATAAACGAACAATAATATTAATATGCCAAAAATCTTTTCTACTTTCAAGTGATTTGGTCACAATAATGATATTAATCAAGATCAATTGTAGATATTTACAGACGTTTTCATGGATATAGGTTTGTTGTTTCAAGATGGAAATCAGATGCCATTTTATACTCTTTAATTTTCCTTTTTAAGGTACAAATATGAACTTGTTAAACTATCTATTTTCAGCTTCATTTAATATGATGTGTCTGTATGTATCTCAAAACTTCATTCAAATTACTTCACTCACTTAATTCTGTTTAAACTTGCCTCAGAAAATCTCACTAATAATTGAGTCTATCAGTCAATCTTATATGATAACTTCTATTAATAATAAGTGATGTGTTTCATTTAGATTAAGAACCTGAATAGTGAAATTTAATGCAAGAAAACCCAGACAACACTATATCTTTGGTTTTTACGAAAGATGGATAGAATATTTGCAGTTATTCATTAACTTATCTGAAAAATCTGTGAACAACCAACTACCTATGAAATATATATGGTAGAAAAGTGGAATCTCTTAAATCAGACAACACATGAATGTCAACGTTTTTTGTGACATGTTTTCAGTCTCAAATGCTAATGACTTACTGTAGGTTAACTAATATTGTTTGTGAATTACAGATAATATTAAATTAAGAATAGTACTTTCAGTCGATCAAACTTTAGTTTTAATACGCTTATAATTAAATTTAACTCATGTAAATGGAAATTTATGTATGTTTATCAAAAAGTAAATAGAAATTTGGTGAAAGTGAAGATCTCTTTTACATGAAAGAGAGAGCACATTCACACACATACACAAACAAGCAAAGTTTTAACAATATTTTCTGTTATGTAGACATGTTTTTAAAATGTTTGTTGTTTTGTGATTGTTTTTATATCAGTTTGTTTATTGTATATAGTTTATTTGAGATTGTAGTCTGTACGTCAATAACAGTGGGGATGTACTTGAATTATTAAGTAGTTTATACAATAGTAGTGTATCCATCGTTTAAAATACTAAAATAAGAATTACAATAAGTATTTCAGACATCTTCCGATTACGTCACTTACTTTGTAGTAATAAAATCAAATCTATTAATAAAGAAGTCTGAAGAATTTTGAGCGGAGGGTGTGTAAACACATTTTTTATTTTGATTAATTAATTAGTTTTTAAAAAGTTTTACAGTTGACTTCAGAAATATGAATCTAGGGAACTTGATCATACAAATAATGGGAATTTTCCAGCGAATACTGAGTATGATGTATTTTTAATTTAATGATTCTAAACGATCTTAAGAAGTTTACAAATATAGATAATTGGGAAAAGCAGATATAATGGTTGTTAAAGACTAGATAAAAGTCTGGTGACAACTTAGAATCACATATATTTTGTTCCCATGCATAATATGTGCAAAGATATATTGTGATAGTACTTGGTTGAAGGTAGCTGGGGTAGGGGAAACCGTGAACCTCGGTTCCATACTGGTTGGGACTCATGAGCACGGCAGCACGAAACATCAGTTCACTCAAAACTTACCAGTATGCCTTACTAAAAGGTGTCAACTATCAGGGCCGACTGCCTAACATTACAATGGACGCAGTCCAGCGGATGTGCAGTCATTTTTAATGTGTCACACTACAACTTGGTCAACAAATTTGACTAACACTAAGGATTAGACTTGATGCTGATTACTATTCCATGAAAAAACAATTAGCATTTTGTAAATTTTGAAAATTAGCACTCATTTGTATAAAGAATGAAGCGTGGTCATCTCCTGTGTAGGTCAAACGTGGTTTAATATCAATTACATCTAATTATTTAATATGTCAACATAGTCAACACAACTTGGGGTCACTTAAACTGGTGACCAAACTTTAACTTGATCGATAGAATTTGTTTAAGATTGAAACAGACTAGGAAACTAGACACTGTTCACTGCAATTTCTTAACCTGTGCTTGTACAACTATATTATCTGAAATAATTTTTACGTAAGGTTAAAGTGAGTTTGACAGCTATGTTTGGATGAAATTATGTGGGTGAATATTGTTATAAAGTACTATTCTAGTGTTTTCAGATAGAAAATGTTGTATAGTGACTTTTTTCTTGATGATTTTGTAAATGTGGGCTCATACTAATATGAATATGATCAAAACAAATCTACCTTCTATATAGTTTTTGAGTGATAACTCTAATGTGATAAATCTAAAGTGTTATAGAGTGTTTAAGCTATCAATTATTGGTGTTCAGTTTAAAAAAATAGCTCGGGTGAACCAATAAAAAAAACAAATTAAAAGTAATTGAAACGTGTCATTCAGTCATACTGCTGTAAAGTTAATACTGAAATAAAGCGAATTCTATCTAGATTTAGATATAGAATTATGTAATGAATAAATTTCAAAATATTCTTCTATTTAATAATATACGTGTTTAGAGCTATTGTTTTGAAGTAGTTTACTGAAACTTTATTTGACATAGTAACGAAGAAATAAGAATGAACTATAAAATGAAACTTTCTTTTTTAATGAATTTTGTTTTCAGAAAATTATTATTATTAGTAATAACAACTTTACTCAATATTGTAGTTTTGATATAATATAGAATTCTTAGGACAAAGTATTTCAAGAAATTTCCATTTCTTACTTTTTGGTAGATTCTGATGACAAATATTGAGTGGTTGCTAGTTAGAATTTAACATTTCAGCCAATCTATATCTGATTAATGTATATTCTTTTCGATTTATATTGCTAGGAATTACGATATCTCTGGTTGAGCTCTTTTGTAACTTGTACAACTAAAGATTGTACACTTTTCAGAAATACACCTAAATAGGTTATGCGATTATAAATAGATAACTTGTTGAAATGTCTAGATGTCCGGAACAGGTAACCCATATAATCAAGCAGGTCGCCATATGATTTACATGTAGTGAGTATATATATATATATATATATATAATTCGTATTTCTTATGAATGATTTAAAATCAAGTCAAAATGTAATACTAAAACGAAAGAAACAACTCAATATGCATTAACTATAATCAAATTTAGAAATCATTGATCATAGAAAACAGGAAATATCCAGATAAAACTGTACTAAGCAGAATGAACAACAACAACAACAACAACAAGAAAAAAAACACGAGAAATGAATAAGAAATTGAGCAAAGTAATATGATAATAATAATAATTCATTTAGAACATATAAGAAAGTATTGATTTTCTTTCTTTTTTTTTATAATTTTTTACTTCTTATTAAATTGTAACTAAAGAAATAATTGGCTCATTATTATTGCCAAATAAAAATTAATTATTTTGATCTGTAACTTTCTTTATTTAAACAAAATATTTCCGATGGCGATCAATTTTATTAATTTTCATCAATATTTATTACTATTTATTTCATTAAAATTTGATCATCATTATTATTATCAATTAAGTAATAAGCGGTGAATATTAAAATGATTAAAACAAAAAAAACGAATGATTAAATCAATGCAATAATTGAATATTTCGCTTATATTTAT